CTAAAATTTGTCATTAATTTTACTTTTAATTAAACTAACTTTGAAAAATATGTAAACAAATATGTAAATTAACTTTTAATTAAACTAACTTTGAAAAATCTATAATTAACTTTGAAAAGCAAATGGTGTGAATAGTGTATATTTTCTAATTTCAATGGAAATTATTTCAATTTATCTGAGGTGATGTGAAATGTAAATAAAAATCAAAGGACATGAATAGTGTAGATTCCCTTATTCTCTAAAATATTTCGATTTATCTGAGTTGATGTGAAATGTCAATGACAAGCAAATGACATGAATAGTATAGATTCTCTGATTCTCTAAAATATTTCAATTTATCTAAGTTGATGTGAAATGTCAATGACAAGTAAAGGACGTGAATATTATAGATTATCCGATTCTCTAAAATATTACAGTTTATCTGAGTTTATGTGATATGTCAATGACAAACAAAGGACATGAATAATATAGATTCCATGATTCTCTAAAATATTTCAGTTTATCTGAGTTGATGTGAAATGTCAATGACAAGCAAAAGACGTGAATAATGTAGATTTTCTACAAGGCATGAATTTAAAATAGTAAAGCTTATCTTCAATCTCTTACACAATACACTACTTTCATCTAACGAAATACATTTCAAATAATGAGCAACAAATTCTTCACAATTGTCCATTACAATGGTGAAATTTTACACATTGATGTTGGTGTTGTGTTTAAGTCATATAGGCCCATCAATATGATGTTCCCTCTAGATGTATCTCATCGTCAAATGAAGTAAAAAATTGAGAGAAAACTTTCAGCTTCTGTTTCATGTTTAAGTTATCGGCACATGGTCTCCTCAAATCCAATCACATATGGAACAATACAGCTTGATGATGATGACGATGTTGTTGTTATGGTTAGACTTTATCAATCATTAAATAATAATATGGTCAAGATTTATGCTGAAACCACGATTACAACAGATATTTTGACCTCATCGGTACCAGCACCATGAACATAAGATGTAGGACCCTCTGAACCAAATGCAAGTGTTGCTGATGATAACCTTATTGGACGATTCGATGAAAGCCTTGCTAAATTTAGCGAGAATAATGAAGATATTGTTTCATTGTTGGAAGATGACGACACATTATTAGTTGATGTCTAATTTTTTTAGGTTGTTTTAGAGGGACAAGGTTTGGATGTTGAGCCTGATTATGGGAGGCAACTATTTCACGATGTCAAGGATTGCAGAATGCTTTAGAGTAACAACATGGGAATGCATCTTGAGTGACAACATGGGAACGCATCTTGAGTGCAAACTATTATGGGAGGGTTTCAATTACAGACACATCTTGATGATAGCCATTGCACAAGATGGAGACAGAAGTATTTTCCCCATTGCCTTCGCCATTGTTAAAAATGAATAAGAGGAAACTTGGAATTTCTTTCTCTCCAAATTGTGTTCCCATGTTGTCACTCAAGATGGGGTTTGCATGATCTCATATCGGTCGCTTGGGTTGTTAAGCATAACTTCTATACCGAAAAGTAGACGGACACCTCCCCATGTATATCTGACATATTATATATATCATATTGCGTCTAATGCTATAAAGAGATTTAAGAAGAAAAAGATCAAAAAAGAGATTATCAATATGGGTAACTATTGTCATTTCTCATTAATTATTTCTGCTTAATTCTTGCTATTTTTTGTATTTTTCAATAATATTTATTTTACTGCTTTTTAGGGTATGTTTTACTATAACCAAACTTTCATGTACGACTAGAAAATTTGAGAAGATACGGAGATGATGTGTATGAATTCGTTGTTGAACTCCCTAGGGAGAGATGGTCATAAGCATATGATGTTGAGGGTTGACGTTACGACCATATGACTACCAACCTTGTCGAATGTATCAACTCGATGCTGAAAGGGGCTAGACATCTCCTAATAGCAAGTATTGTTAGGGAGATATACTTTTGGTTAAACAAAGTATGGGTAGGAAAAAGTGCACAAATAGATGTCATGATCAACGATGGGAGAAATTGGGTTTCAGATTTAGAGAAGGTAATGCAAAAGAATCAAACACATGCAACACCAATGTTTGTCCATAATTTTACCAGACTTGATTTTGATTTTGTTGTCCAAGCACTAGTTCGACTACATGAGGGAGGTAATTCTACAACGTACACTGGTAATCGAATAGAAGATGGTATAATTGTGGTCGATTTCAAGCTTTTAGATTTTAATGTGCTCACGTTGTTGCTGCAAGTATGCACATTAATGTTGACCCATATTTATATGTTGATGAATGTTATAGCTTGCACACTATGTGTAATATTTACAATTGTGACTTTAAGTACCTCCCAAATGAAGCATACTGACCTACATCAACAATTTCTGAAGAATGGTTGCCAAATCCTGAATTGCGTATGAAGTTAACATGTCGACATGAATCTAGTCGAATTCATACCAATATGGATGATCCTCAAAGAGATTCAGGTCTACCAAAACTTTGTGGCCACTGTAGAGGTGAATGACATAACAGAAAGCATTGTCATCATCTTCCTAAATATCGGACTGGACGCTAAAATAGCCGTTAAAAATATTATGTTGTTTTTTATTTTTACTCTTTTAACTATTTTTTCACTATGTTTTTAGTTTGTACTCTATGTTTTTTTTAACTTGTACTCTTCCTACCATGTTTGAGTTTTTTTAGTTGAACTTCATTACTTCAAACTTTTACTTCAATTCTTATATAATTTCAAACATTACTAAATAAGTTTACTTAATCCAATAATTACTAATTAATAAAGAGAACTTCATACATAAATTAAAACCATATAAATTAATATGTGTACATATGTCATTTTCTATTTTTTTAGTTCTCTCTTAAATTCGTTCACTACCTCAGATTAATACACCTTCATATTTTTCTTTCGTCACCTTCTTCTTCTCAATTTTTATACTAAAATTTTTAATTTTTTATTCCTCTCAACGAGTCGTTTGCTACGCTGCTTTGGTAAATCTTCATACTTCTTCTTCTCTTCCATTTTCATCTTCTTCTTCTTATGCCCCTCAACTATGTACTTTATTGCTCTTTTTCCCACTCTTCATTTGAAGAAGAGCTTGAATTCAAACCGTCGATCTTCGAGTCGCTGTTGTCAAACTCATAAACACAATTCACCAAATCATACCCAAAAGTTTCCTACAACTACATTATTTGATAATCTCAATTTTTTGTCACTTCTCGTACATCAAAACATTCACCCTAAACCCCTATTTTTAATGAAGCCATCTCCTAAAATAGCCGTTGGGAAATCGTTACACTTTGAATTTAAAAAAAAATTGATTGTTGGCCAACGATCCACCGAACGGTCAAAAATTTCAAATTTTTACTCTTTAGAACTCATCGCACCAGCGTGACGAGTGACGAGTTCCATGGCCATTAATATATATATATATATTACAATGCTTTTTAAAATTCCAAAAAAAATAAAAAATATTTTTTATTCGGACTAGTCATGCTCGCGTGATAAGTCCCGTGAAATATATTAAATATATTCAGCCCCTGGAATTAACGTCTCATGGCCCATTAAAAAATTATATCCAACAAAACTTGTCACACCGACGTGACGAGTTTCAGCTACACTATAACTTTTACCGTACATACGAAAATAAAAAACAAATTGCCCTATTGAATTATCCCACTAATTTTGCCCATAGACATTTTTAACAGTGTTTTGAAAACCGGACCAGTTCAACCGGGAACCGCTGTCTAGTTCGATTCAATCTACACCGGTTGAACCGCTACTAATGAACCAGCCGGAACCGCTGAACCGTTCGAACCGGACCGGTTGAAAACCGGAAAAAATCGGGGAAAACTGGAAAAAACCGCCAAATTTGTTTTTTTTTTAAATTAAACCAAACGACGTCGTTTGTTAAACGAGCCAAGTCGAACTCGAGTATTGCTGAGCTCGACTCGAACTTGAGAACTTTAAAAGTAAGCTCAACTCGACTCAAACTCACGAGCTAAAAATTATCAAATTCAACTCGAACTCGAAATATAATATTGAAACTTGAACTCGAAAAGGCTTGAACTCAAAAAAAAATTAGAAGCTCGATTGAAGCCTAAAATTCGAGCTTGATTGAAGTGAGAATAATTCACTCAATGTTCACCAAAAGGTTCCATGATTTTGAATGTCAAATTACCTCTATTATTTATAAAAGTATTCTATGTTTCTTAGCCATGTGGGATTGTTTTGTTCTCATATTTTTACTCTTTAGACTTTTGGGATGCTCTTCTATGTTTCTTAGTCATGTGGGATTATTTTTTTAAAAAAAATTAAACCAAACAATATCATTTTGTTATGATTTTTTTAGCCCCAAATTTATTTTTTAATTATAGTTATATAATTATATTTATTATTTAATATGTTTTACCTTAAATATTATGTTGTAGTTAATTTGAATCATTTTATTTCACTTGATTTTATGGTTTTTAACTTATATATGTTATGACTTGTGATATAAAAATTATTTTTTATTAAATATTTTTGGTATTTTTATTTAATTTTTTAAATAATTATAATGTCGTTCGATTCTTCCGATTGATCGGACCGATTCGACCGATTAAACCAATAAACTAATAATATGATCGGTTCACTAACCGGTCCGGTTCTGAAAACCATTATTTTTAATGAAGGAAAAACTTAATCATGACCACGAACTTTAATCCCATATCCGATTTGTATAAAGCACTTATCCAAATTCAGTTGGAATAAAACCAAATCTACATTTGATGCTCGTTTCCTCCATTCTTTGGTCGGCTTCAGTAATAATTCAATTAGATCTATTTTCAGCAAGTTCCCTTTTGTTGGATGGTTGAAGACTTTCTTACTTTCCGAAGACCAAGATCGTTACCGCCCAACTTCTAGTCTTCTAAAGCAAAAGGTTATCCACTGTCATTTTTCAGAATTTTAAATCCTGGTATCTCAACTGCAATGAATATTCTTCTCCCCAGATTCATCCTGTAAGTTGAACCCCCTTTTTTCTTATTTTTTCATTGCAAGAGCTATTATATTTCTGATGGGATGTTCAGTTTTGTTTCCGTTTCTGGGTTTTCTAGTCTCTGCCTTCTATCTTTTGATTATATCGTTTTCAGGTTGCATTTGGGAATTTGGATTCCGGATTTCAGAATGGTGTTAATTGGATTAAGAAAAAGATATAAATGTAATTTGGGGATTTCTTTGATATCTATTTAGGGTTGAATTTGAAATTCATGCAGACATTTATGATTTTGAATTTAACATTTTTTACAATCTATATAACAAACGAAATTCGCATATTTGTCTCAAGATTGCTTCATTTATGCTCAAATATTTTTATCTTGCATTGCTTTACAGATTAGCTTCATTTGATTAATTGTTTCAAAGGTTTGTCTTTGGGGATTATTGCTAATTTTATCTTATTGTAGGAGTTTTTCCAAGTAAAATTATACTTTAAGAGATGTACTTTAAGTTAATCAGCCGATGAAAAACTATGCTGCTATGACTCTTCATTCTACTTGAAGCATACATGTTTTGACCCCGAATTTGATGCATATAGTGTATGCTCCTCTTAAGACCTTTCCAGTTACATGAAAAACTTGAAAAATATAGATGAAATTGAAGGTGCATCATAATGTTCCTGATCCGACCTGAAAGCTGAACCAGAATATGATTTCTAAACTATCCGTTTATTGTCCAAAATTTTAGAAATTTAGGAAGGATAAGAATACATCTTTTAACCGGTAAGGATTAATGTTTGTGTTAATATTCTTCACAGGTGAGAATGGAAGGGGAAAAAGTAAGCATAGATATTCCCAGGGATGGAAAATCCAAGGTTCTTGATCCAGTATTTTCCGTCTTTCTTGTTCAACTTCCACGCAAACTTCAAAACTGTCTTAAGGTTAGCCATAGCTCTTATGTTGCATGATTTTTTTACGATGCTGTTCTGGTAGATTATTTTTTCTCGATTAGAATTTGACCGACAAATTTCCCATTTTTCGGTTACAGTCACAACTGAAGAGATTAACCAAAGATGGTGACAAAATAAAACATTTGAACTATTTTCTTGAAAAGAAGAACCGTTTATCTACTGGATTGCGGATCGATCGGGAGAAACAATTGGAAGCTTGGAGAGGAAATCCTTCATGGGTCAATCCACCTCCAGAAATAGAGGTAAAGAGGTTTTGGGAAATTTTATGGTTTTATTCTCAAGAATGAAACATACCTATGTCTAACACTTACATCCGAGTTCCGAGTCATGAAGCATGACACTTTTATAGTACTATTTCTTTCATATAGACGACTTTGAAGAAAAAACTTTGGTTCTAATAATAAAAGATAATTATAAATCCAATGTTTGCACCACATTGCTGTCATTTTACTCAGTTTTGTAAAGTACTTGAAATCTAATGTTATTTTCGGCAGGTCAGTGTTGGGAAAGGCTCTCTTTGCCACCTTAAAGCAACAGCCGATATTGGGTTGCCCCCAGATGAGGTGTATAACATTGTTACTGATCCTGATAACAGGAGGGTTTTCAAAAACGTTAAGGTGTGTTACATTTTCATCCACAATAATAAATCTGAAGCTTTATATCAGGGTACAATTACCCTGTGTTGCTCTGAATCTTCATTTACTTTGAAGTACGGATATCTAATGCTCCTGTTTGACATGTTTTTGGACTTGGTTATGAGGATACGGCCCTCAAAGGACCCTTCAAACACATGAAAGAATTCGAAACACACACTCAAGTCTGAGTAACATAGCAACTACCCATATGTGGGAATTACATTCATATAGCTTCAATGTCTCGAGCAGTTTTATAAATTTCCGGATTTTTTTTAACGAGCTGATATTTGAATTCAGGAAGTGATATCAAGAAAGGTTTTAATCGATGAAGGTCAAAGACAGGTGGTCGAAGTGGAACAATCAGCTATCTGGAGATTCCTTTGGTGGTCAGGAACCATCTCGGTTCATGTTCTAGTGGATCAAAACAGAGAAGATCACACGGTATGAATTTCCCCCTAATTATTTGATTCATATTTGGAATGATAATGGAGATATTATCTTCCATGAATCACTAAATACATAGAAAACGTATTCCGAATACCCGAGTCCGAGTGCTAGAAGTTTTACCTGATTGCTTTTGCTTAAACTGATCTTGCTCGGATTACTCAATGCATAAGTTGTTTGCAAAGAGATTGTGCAATGTTTACTAGTGGATAACTCTTAATTCTAATGATCATGATTAACAGATGAGGTTCAAACAAATGAGCAACGGATTCATGCAAAAGTTTGAAGGTTACTGGCGAGTCGAACCGCTTTTCGTCGACAAGAAAATATGTTTTCCTTTCAAGCCAAAAACGTTGTCAGAGTATTGTTCATGTACTGGAGGCAAAGGAAGGATTGGAACAAAGGCGAGCTTAGACCAATTGATTCAACCAGCCATCGCTCCTCCCCCACCCATTTCTTGGTATCTAAGCGGAATACCTGCAAAAACCACTGAGATGCTGATAAATGATCTACTTGCCGAAGCCGACAGAATCAAGGGCAGCCATAACTTGGAAATTTTGAACAAGAAGCTTCGGTTATCAAAGAAGATAAACGAACATCGTTACCAACTTGAGCAAGTCTGTGACATTAAAGAAAGATGGAAGTCACATCGGAGGAATCGGAAGTTGTTGCAGCGTCGTAAGAAGCTGTTCACAGATGAATCCTCAAGTTTTTAATTTGTTCGAATTCATCTGTATTTTGTTGAATCAATATCATACGAAATTTGTTCACTAACGTTGTAATGATGTCTCCATTTGGACGTTTGTAACTCTTTCAGATTTTAAGCAGGCTTCCAATCTTTTTCTTCCTACACATATGACCAGTGATTACAGTTAGGGATGGTCATGGAACCTGAGTCCAACGTGTCCCGACTCGATCAGATCAAATTTTTTAAAAATAAAATTTGGGTTCGGGTTGGATTGGATTGGGTTTTTTTATGTTATGTTTGGGTCTGGTTTAGGGTGAAAAATACATGATCCAACCTGGAAAAAAATTGTAATTTTGTCTTATATATTTAGGGATAATTGCAATAATATCCATTTATATATTATTTTCTTTCAATTAAATCTCTATTTTTATTGAATAAAAATAATATTATTTCATGTCGGATCGGGTTCGAATTTTATTTCAAAAATCGTGTCGGTTTCAGGTTGGGTGGAAGGTGTATATTTTTCAAGTCGAGTAGAGGATTTATAATTTTTGGGTTGGGTCGGGTGGATTGAAAATCTGACCCGACTCATACCCATCCCTAATTACAACTAGAGTACCAATTAGGCTTATTTGGGCGGGTTTGGCTTCCATTTTTCGGGTTTTGGTTATTTTGGTTTTAAGTCTTTACAGGTTCGAATTTGGTTTGGGTTGAGATTTTGGGTTAATTTTAGTGTTGGGTTCGGGTTTGTTTTCTAATAGGGACAATATCAACGGTTGATTCAGAAATATTTTTCAGGGGTATCAATATGTTAACAATATAAAATTTTTAAATGAAATAGATACAAATAAAATTTCAAAGAAATTTCAAGATGGTGGCATTGTTCGTAAAATAAGTAATTAATTGAAGAAAACTCAGATTTCAAGGTGGGCATAAAAAATTTCAAAGTAGACACCATCAATAAAATAAATAAATAAATAATCGAAGAAATTTTGGATTTCATGGTGGACATGTGCCCACCCTCACCAAGTTGTAGATTTGTCATTGGATAGGATTTAATTATACTGTGTAAAACTCTTTTAATTTATACTTTTTTAGAATCGTTTGATGAAAAATATTAATGGTCGAGATTAATACTAAAAGATAAGAAGATATTAAACGTAAACAAGTGGATCATAACCCATTTTATATAATCTATTATATAAATGTTTACGATTGTATGTTAATATTATCTATTGATTTATTATTATTATTAAGTGAACTTTTGTTTTTAATTGTAATATAATAGTTTAGTTATATTTTTAGTAGAAATATTTATCTCTGGCTCATAGAAGTTCAAAAACCTATTTTACCATTCAATAACACAAATATAAATATATCGATGAAATAATTAATAAATTAAATTATATAATATATACTAAAATATTTTTGGATTCTAAAGTCTAAACCTTCATGATGTTTTTGGATTAAAGACATCAAAATCTGGGAAGTAAAGGGCGAATCTTTTGAGTTTTGCAAGGAAATCGGGGTGATGCCAAAAGAGTTGGTGGAAAGGCTGAAGGGGGGACATGCAAATTTATGCTCAATAAAAACAATTCCAATGCATGATGTTTTATACCTATACAATTCCGAAAAGCCTGAAGAATTGGTGGTTTGTGAGATTGAGAAGCGCCCGAGGGGTTTTCCGGTGGGGGAGTTTGAAGAACGCGGCGGCGAATGATCGGCGTAGGGTGGCGGAGAGGGTACTGTTTACGTTTGCCGATGTCCGGTTGGGTGATTTTGCGGTGACTTATTTTTCTTTGTTTTATCCAATTCGTGTCCCTTCATGAAACTGTTCAGCTGGTTCTGCTTGTTGCTTTGTTTTCTTAGATTATTTACTTCCAAGTGAAAACGATAAACTGTTGTTGGAAATCGACTCTGCAACAACTCGGATCCAATTAAGTTACCATTCACTCCAATTTGAAAATGATAATGAGATAGAATTGGGTAAATTGCTCATTTAGTACCTAAACTATAAGTTTTTGTCTATTTTAATACTTAAACTTTAAATTTTTTAAAAATATACCTAAATTTTAGTTTTATTTCATTTTTGTACCCTTGTCCAAATTTAATGTTATTTTTTGAATTTTTTTTTTTGAAATATTAGGTATTAAAACAGATCAAAACTAATAGTTTAGGAACTAAGCGCATTAAGTTTCTAACGGTGAGTACTAAAATGAAACAAAAACTAAACGGTATGTAAGATTTTGAAAAAATTAAAAGTTTAGGTACTAAAACGGGATAAAACTAATTATTTAAGTACTAAATATATAATTTATTCGATAGATTTTTATATAAACCTTGAATTAAAGATAGAATAGTAAAAGTTGATTTTAAAAAAGGTTTAATTTAAATTAATGAACTAATTTTTTTATAAGACAGAAATAATTATTTTTTTAAAAATTAGAAAAAAAAAATTACAATGGAGGTTTACCACAACGGTCGTAAACTAAACATACACTAGAACATTTTCCTATAATCGTTGACATAAGAAATTAGTAACTTAAGATTACACAAAGAAAAAAGTTAAAAACTTAATTAAATAAATTCAAATAAAAGGTAAATATGAATAGATTTAACTGCATCGACAAATGAAAAAGTCAATAATCTTGTAGCGATGAAGTCTCCCTATCAGTGACTCCCAATGTACCACTGGTGGTAAAATATGTGGTATGGGTGCATCAGATGCTCGCGGAATAACTTTGATTATATGCCTAAGGGCAAATGTGAGGTATCTAAAAAAGGTGACCTCATTTATTCTTGCGTCCTTCGTGATGCATATATCCTTGGAGTTTGGGAAAAACTCATCGTCAATATCCTAGGTGAGTGAGGCTCGACTCTAGTCACAGTCTTCATAACTACAAGCAGTATCGTCAGTCATATCCTAAAGAAATCAAAGAAAAAAGAGGAGTCATTATCGTCATTCCAGATATTTAGGTACTCTTGACACTCTATAGGTATGTACTTATTGACACTTATTTACTCTAACCTGCGGGTTCTAGAAAAGATTAAACATGACGCTCTGGTGCCACTAAATATAACACCCAATTCAATCCAACATGAAATATAGAGGATTTGAATATTACATGGATCACCGAAGTGGTTATCTGTTTTTTTAAAATCATTACTTGCATTCATAACAAACCATACATAAAATTCATAAAACATAAATATTTAAGTTTTACAAATGGATAGCTCCCAAAATATCATCTCAAAACATACGATTTTAACAAAAGGAGTTATGAGTCAATTATACATAAAGTCTATGATACATACCCTCTAAAATAACGAGATGTGCTCTAAAGTTCGACTGAGTTTAGAATCCATAATATGGTGATAAGCTCGTCGATTAACACCTAAGAACTTACGAATGAAGATAATTCTAAATGATAAGCTACAAAGTTAATGTCACACAAATAACTCTACTCTATTACATGTATTCACTAAATGAGTATGCTAATAAATATAATAATGAAACAACGAAATATATCAAAAATAGATCACAGCAAAGGATTATGAGCGATTTAGAATTTCAGAGTACAATGACAATGTCATCGCATAACTAAAGGGCCTTAACACTGGTACTAAAATTCCTTAGCACCAATACAAAAGTGCATTATCATTGATACAAAAGTACATTAGCACTGCTAGAGATATACCTGGATATTTCACATTCATATATTTTAAACGATCGTTGTACATTCAAGTAGTTCGGATGTCCTCATCATTTTCGAAGTGTCAAACAAAGACATAAGTTGTATGAAATATTACTTCAAAATGTTTTTATGTTTATCACACAATCATTCGATGTTTCTACTTGTAAGCTTTTATTATTGTCGAAACGATTTTTTCTTATAGGTGAAAAAATGAGATTTTAAAAACCACATTAATTTTTATTTACCTCTTTCAATTGATTTTTAATTTAAAAACAAATGCAATTTAAAGAACCTCTCGTTTCAAAAAATTTTAGAGTTCCTTTACGATCGAAAAAAATACGGTTCGAAGAGTCGCCACCAATCTTTGATTAGGATATGATTGGGCACCCAAAAACGTTTTGTCATTTTAAATAAAAATTAATTTTAATTAAAACAATAAATTGAGGTATGCGTTACCAAAAAATGAGTTCGGGAGTCGGTTACGTGTGGGGAATGATTAGCACCCCCACAACACCCTAAATCGGTACCTAGTCGATTAATTAACGTCTTTGCAATGAACTTTACAAATTCGAATTTAATTTGATTTTTGATCCCATAAAACCAAGATGTGAATTTAATAATATTCAAAAGCACTCAAATAAATTAAATTAAAATTACCAAGTCGTTTTAGAAAGATAAAGAATGTTCGATTATTTACAAATATCGAGACCAGATCTTAAAAGCTATAACAACCTTTTCTCGATAAATTTAAATAGTCGAACATTTCTTTTTCTTCCATTCCCAAATTTTAAAGTGATGGATTAATTTTTAGGCGTCACTAAAGGGATACACTTTTATTTTAAAATCATTAAAAGCGAACCTCAAATGCGTTATGACAATCCACATAAAACAATTTTAAATTAAAAATGTATTACCCTTAATCCAATTATGTAATATGTCCAGTTATGCAAATGATGTTAACATGCAAATTACAATACCACTAATTAATAAAATGATATAAGTAAACAAAACAAATGTAATTATAGAAAATAATATTTAATACATTAAATATATTAAAACCCAATAAAATTTAATATTTTAATGACTTTTTAAAAGAAATGCTAATATCCGTAAGGTTAATTTATTTAAAAAATGTAAAACCATTAATAAATATATATACATATGTTACAAATTATTTAATTATTAAAAAATTACTTAATATAATTATAATTTATTAAAACCCATATGAAATCTATTTAATTAAACACTATTTTTTTATAATACCTTTATACATATATTATCATGACAAAATAATAATAATAATAATAATAATAATAATAATAATAATAATAATAATAACCTAAGGACAAAAAATAAATAGGCACATAACTTTAAAATTAAAATCATAAATTTAATATAAATCAAGTCCAAATATATAAACTATCACATTCCATGTACTGAAATTAAAATAAATCCCTAATCTCATGT